CGCGGAAGACAATTAGGGGTGCTGCAGCAGCAGCTGCGGCCTATTGCGCTGCTGCTGCTGCGGCAAATGCTGCTGCTGCTGCTGCTGCTGTTGCTGCTGCAGCTGCTGCTGGCACTTTCACGGTGTACGTACAGATGTAACGAAAAAATTGGGGGAAAGTTTGTTGATGGTTGCTGCTTCACATATGCATGCATGCAGCAGCTGCAGCAGGAGCAGCAGGAGCAGCAGTAGCAGGAAGATCAACAGCACAGGGAGCAGGGGAGCAGTTATTGTAAGCAGCAGATATATTGCTGCTGCTGCAGTTTTGCTGCTGCAGCAGAATAGCAGCAGCTGCTGCTGCTCCTGTGTGGCAGCAGACCCGAAGCAGCAGCAGGTGTTGCTCTTCGAGTCATCCGCCAGTACAGGGGGGCATAGCCCCGTTAAGCAGCAATTCTATGACACATGCTGCTGCTGCTGCTGCTGCTGTTGCTGCTGCTGCTGCTGCTGCTGGTAGATCGTCAGTTTGCTGCTGTTGTAGCTCGTGTGTCTTCTAGTTGCGATGAGGGGATTTGCTGCTGCAGTTTGCTGCTTTGGACCTTTTGCTGCAGCAGCAATATAAATATATATGTAGTTATAGATACACCTGAGTGAGGCCGCTTGCTGCTGCAGCAGCAGCAGCAGCAGCAGCAGCAAGATTGTTTATATTTTTTTTTTCTTTTTTTATCTTTTTATCTTCTTTAATCAAACAAATTATAAAAAAGAAGAATTTTAATTTATTTTCTTAATGTGCGCATATATACACGAGGCTATATAAGGTCGGCAATTTGCTGCTGCTGCTGCAGCAGCAGCAACAACAACAGCAGCTGTGTAGACGGAGAGAAGCAGCAGCAGCAGCAAGTGCAGCAAGTGCAGCAAGTGCAGCAAGAAACAAGGCAAAAATAAAACTACTTCTTTATGCGATTATACAAATATTGAGAAGGCAGAAGATATAATTTGCTGCTGCTGCGGACACCGGAGGAGGCGTGTGTCGGCTCTGCTGCTGCTGCTGCTGCTGCTGCTGCTGCTGCTGCTGCTGCTGCTGCTACTGTTGCTGCTGCAGCAAGAAATAAAAGAAGAGACACTATAATTAAAAGACAAAAGGATACCGATAGAAGAGAAGAAGAAGACATACAGAGCTGCACATACACCGCAACTAATGACACACCTAGAAGAACAAGAAGGCCGCCGGTTCGCTCGCTTGAGCGGGCAGCAGCAGCAGCAGCAGCAGCAGGAACTTGAGCAGCAGCAGTAGCTGCTGTTGCTGCTGCTGCTGCTCTACTTGCTGCTGCTGCTGCTGCTGTTCTTTTCTTGCTGCTAATTATTTTTACTATCTTTTTTTCTCTTATAAATGACACTTTTACTGTTCTTTTGTTGACTCTTATAGCTAAGAAGAAGTATATAAGAATAAGCTGCTGCTGCTGCTGCTGCTGCTGTTGCTGCTGCTGCTGCTGCTGCTGTTGATGTCGGCAGCGCGAGCGAGAGCGGTCAGCACCGGTGGCCTCAGCTTGCTTTGTTCGCTGCCTGCTCCCCCTGCAGCAGCAGCAGCAGCAGCAAGTTGCTGCTGATTCTTCATTTTGCTGCTGCTGCACATAAATCACGTGTGTGCATGCATTGTGTGTCTTTGACTCCCGTGCTGCTGCTGCTGCTGTTGCTGTTGCTGCTGTTGCTGCTGCTGCTGTGGGCCCGCTGCTTCTCGGGTTAGTCTGTGGGCCTGCTGCACTAGTTGCCCAAGACTCTACATTTCTCTATCTTATAAAAGTGCAGCAAAAAGCTGCTGCTGCTGCTGCTGCTGCTGCTGCTGTTTGTGCTGCTGCTGCTGCTGTTCTTTTTGCTGCTGCTGTTGCTGCTGCACAGGACAGGCCACTGGTTCTCTACTGGTTCGCTGTAACAGCAGCAGCAAAAGATAAAAGGGAAGCAGCAGACACCTTCCTATATTAACTTGCTGCAGCAGCAGCAGCAAACCATGAGGTGCCTATACACCCCAATCACTATACAGCAGCAAACACTTTCTTAGAGTTTACAAGAAAAGAGAGACAAAAACTTGCCCCTATATAACACAGACACTCTGCTGCTGCTGCTGTTGCTGTTTCTGCTGCTGCTGCCGCTTCTGCTGTACGACCTGTTCCTTCTGCAGCAGCGTTTGCTGCTTCTGCTGCACGATCATTTTCATCTGCAGCAGCGGTTGCTGCTGCTGCTGCAGCACCAGCAGGTCAGGTCGGGTGCAGCAGTTACTGCCCAACGACCCAAAGAAGCATTGCGAGTGGTGCAGCAGCAGCAGCAGCTGCTGCTGCTGCTGAACTTGTTGCTGCTGCAATTGAGTTTGTCTTGCTGCTGCAGCAATTGCCTCTTGCTGCAGCAGCAACTGCTGCATATATTTACTTAGTAGTATATATTTCTTCATCTGCTGCTGCAGCTGCAGCTGCTGCAGCTGCAGCAGCAGCAGCAGCTGCTGCTGCTGCATTGTTGTTGTTGCTGCTGCTGCTCTTATCTTATTCATATTTATTTTTCTCAACAAATTTTGCTGCTGCTCGTGGCGTAAAAGGCCAAGTCTCCTCATCTGAATATTGCTGCTGCTGCTGCTGCTGCTCTTTTGCTGCTGCTGCTATTGCTGCAGCTACTGCTGCTTCTTTGCTGCAACAACTGCTACCACTACTACTACTGCTGCTGCTGCTGCTGCTGCTGCTGAATATAGGCCATTTATTATGGTCATAGTCCCATTGCCTTAATAGGGTAGCAGGTTCTTCGTCTGCATGCAACAAATTGATTTGCTGCCCCAACAACCCCACCACTACTAACACAGGTATACCTATTGTTACATGACGGGGACTTATAGGACCTGCATATACACCATAAATTATTTATATTTATTTGTTTATTTACTTATTTATTTATTTATTTATTTATTAGTGTATGTGCATGCAGCAGCAACAAGAAATTATAATATTATATGTAGGGGAGACAGAGAGACACAAAAAGAGACACAAAAGGAGACAGCAGCAGCAAGGAGACAGCAGCAGCAAGAGACACAAAGGGAGATAGCAGCAGCAAGAGACACAAAAGGAGACAGCAGCAGCAAGAGATAAAGAAGGAGAAAAAGACAAAAAAAGAGAAGAAAGGAAAGAAAACAATAACAACAAAGAAAGGAAGAAAAAAGAGACAAATATAATTATTTATATAAAGAGAAAAAGGAGACAAATAAATGTAGACTATTAACAGCAGCAGCAGCAGCAGCAGCAGCAGCAGCAGCAGCAGCAGCAGCAGAAGCAGGAGACTAACGTTTAGGCTCAATCTTAATATTATATGTATGTATAGACAACAACAGCAGCACAACCAGCAGCAGCAGAATGAGCAGCAGCAGCAGCAACAGCAACAGCAACAGCAGCAGCAGCAGCAGCAGCAGCAGGAAGAGACTAACCTTTAGGTTGTATCTTAATATTATATTTATGTATAAGTTTATATCTTATAGGGGAATTATACAAAAGAGACAACCAAGGCATTATATCCCTATTTTGTTTATATGTCTCTTCTTCCTCATCTATAGATATATATATTATCTCTATTTTCTTCCTTAATCCTTCGTCATTTACACTCTTATAAAACTGTACATAAATATATATACATATATATATATATACATATACATCTATATCTATATATACATATATATTTATTATATCTAGGGTTTAGGGTTTAGGGTTTAGGGTTTAGGGTTTAGGAATTTTGATAATAAATAATAAATAATAAATAATTAAAAATAAACCCTAAATTCAACTCACTAATTATTTATTATTTATTAATTAGGGTTTAGGTTTTAGGGTTTAGGGTTTAGGGTTTAGGGTTTAGGGTTTAGGGTTTACTTGTATAAGAAAAGGTAAGAAAGAAGTACATTTAGGATGTTTAGATGAATAAAAAAGGAGAGCAACAGATAAACCCCCTAATAAATAAATAGGGACCTGCCTATACACCCCATTTGTCCCTTTTCTTACTAAACTGTCTCCTACACCCTCAAGGATACAATGATCCTCTGTGGTACATATACACACACACAAACCCTAAACCCTAAACCCTAAATTGTAAACCCTAAATTGTTAACACTAATTCTTGTGGTGAGGGAAGAAAGAGATAAGGGAAAGAAGAAAGATGCAGGGGATAATAAAGAGGGAGAAAGGAGACAACAAAAAGACATAAAAAGGAAGAAAAGGAGACAACAAAGAAGCACAAAAAGGAGACACTATTTATGCCTATACAATTAACGAGACAGTAGGATAGTTCGGGTGTATATAGGCCGGTATATATATTGTATAAACACTACATTAGGGTTTAGGGTTTAGGGTTTAGGGTTTAGGGTTTAGGGTTATCGATCTATAGGATTTTTTTTCTGTTTTTTTTCTTGTTTATACCATCAGCAGTAGCATAAGGATTAAATCCAATAGGAGAAGAAGAAGGAATAAATCCTGTTTTATGTAAATATTGTCCCCCTTTATCTATAATATATTTATCTTTATTTGTCCATGCTTCTCCTGCATATACACCCCGATTATGACGATTTTTTACTCCTTTTGCAGCAGAAGAAGGAGAAAAAGAAGAAGAAGGATTAATAGAGGAAGAAGAAGGATTAATAGAGGAAGAAGAAGGATTTATAGAGGAAGAGGATGTATTCTTCATTGTAATTAAGAAAAAAAGAAAAAAAAAAGAAAAAAATAAATTTTTAGCGTCTGTATCGATGGCTCACTGCTGCTGCTGCTGCTGCTGCTGCTGTTGCTGCTGTTGCTGCTGTTGCTGCTGTTGCTATTTTTAAGAAAAGTTTGTTAATAAGGGAAGGAATTATAAGGAAATAATTAAGTGTTAGGGAAACAATAAAGGAAATGACGCAAGAAACTGCTGCTGCAGCAGCAGCAACAGTAGCAACAGCAGCAGCAACAGCAACAGCAGCAGCAAGCAGGCTCGACAAGGGGTGACCTGCTGCTGCTCGGCCTCAGCAG